GGAGAGGGGGGGGGGGGGGGGGGGGGGGGGTACTCATTGTCGTGCATGCCGTAGTCGTTTGACCATTGACCTCGCATCCCTAAAAAGTCGGGACGGAGCACGCCGGGTTCTCACCGGACGGGGCTCTCACATCACCAAGCGCGAAGCGCCGTGAGGTATTCGGCCAGTCGAACAGAGGGTGCGCTGCATCCTGCTAAGGGTGTTCGGCATCTTGATGGGTTTACTTCCTTGCAACGGATGACCGCTGCCTATGACTTAATTTATTTTCTGGTGCTTCCACTTCCAGAGACAGTTGTGTAGTTGTAAGCACTGCTGTGTAACTGCCTCGAAGGTGCTTGGCCATTTTAACACAACGTAGCACGATCATCCCCTTTGCGCGGAGTGAGCGTTCTCGACCCCGCAAAACATAATCAACTCGACCACCATTTTATAGCCACCGTAAAAAGAACCAAAGGAAGAAAAAGAGCGGTAACCCGATTGTCGAGCTCACGAAGCGATCGGCTTGTTTTACAACGTCGTTGGGAAGCGACGAAAACCCAACCCCGATGGCAAACACCGGGGGGCGGGTTAAACGCAACACCAAGAGAATGAAGAAAGAGAGAGGGTGCCAGGGAGCTAGTATTTTCTTATTGTGAGGTGTCCTTTACGGGCCGCGCGTAACGAGACGTTGTGCGCAGAAGCCTGTGTGCCTCGCTCTCTCTCTGCACGCGAAAGCATTGGGGGGCTGACACAACTTGCAGCGCAATTTTTGAAGCGGGAAGGAGAGTATTACCACTGCGGCATACAAAGTTTTGCTTATTTATTGATACCACGTACTACACCGTCAAAACCTTCCCGAGCTTGTCTTCGTCAAAAATCTACCATTCGTGCAGCCCCGGAAACGACGTGCCAAGCACGTGGGTTCGGTCTTAGTTCGAGATAGACGACGCAAATACGTTAGCACGTCTCCATAGCATATTATATATATGTGTCCTATAGGACGACGAGAGTCGCACGGGTAAATGCCAAAGAAATGTGTATCCACAACAGGAACGGAGGAGTTCAGCCTGCAGCTGCTTAAGCGCGACCTCAGAAGTTCCACCGAAACGACGGGGGCACAGCCCGAACTATCAAAGGGGAAGATGGGTACCCTCCACTTCATTCGATGGTTTGGTTTTGTTGTCTTCGCCTGAACAGAAGGTCCTGACCTCCTAACACCCGTATTGGCCCAACTGTTGTTGTTGTCGTTGTTGTCGTTGTTGTCGTCGCTTACAACCTGTTTCGTTATCTTCTCAGTACCTTCGAACATTCGCATTGCTCCAATTGACATAATCGACGCCTTCCATGGTCACAAACGAAACACCCAAGGTAAGTAAAGGGCCCAGGATATCAAATATTGACGCCATATCCAATAAATGGCAGCAGAGCGTTGGCTCCAGGATGTCAGACGTTGATGGCGACACACCGAAACAAAGACAAATTTATGTACAGTAGAGCCCATCGCTCCTACTCTCCACACTCGAGGCCAAGCAAAGCCAAATCAAACAAGAACCATAGATCGCCCCCAAAGATAAAAATCACATTATTCTATCCTTGCACTTGTAGACCGCTAGGCTGGGGTGTGTTCACTGCCTGGTTGCACCGACCATGCCATTGCACTTACATACGTGCAAATCCGTGGGGGGCTCCTGAGCGGCGGCGCCGTAGTGGGGGGGGGGGGGGGGGGCGGGAAAAAAAAAAAACCAAATTGCACCTGGGGGCCCCTTTCCAAAAAAAAAAAAAAAGGGTATCCCTTAAATACCGGTCGGGAAAATCCCAGGCCAAGTTCGGGCTCCCCCCCCCGGGGAAACAAAAACTTAAAACGGGGGCGGCCCCACTTGGTTTACCCAAAGGAA